AAATAATTTATTCTTCGGACACATATGTGCTGCCCTTGAGAGATTGTGTTTGTTCAGAAAACCTTTAAGTGTACTTTGAGGGGCTTCTGTGTGGCCACCACCAGAACACAGCTTCCTCATGTCCCTGACCTTAAGCCAGCAGCAGGCACAGTTGAATTAAAAGAAGCAGCATAGCTATGTACTGTTTTCTCTAAAAACAGCCCTGGACAAAGCATTTCCTTAAGTAGCGTTGAGCAGGATTTGGAACTTCCTATGCTTCAAAAAAAGCCTTAGAGAGATTTACGGAAGTGCAAAGGTCAACATTACTGCATGTGATTGCTCCCTCCCCCTGCAGTCCAGGGCAAACCGACTTTAAAAAAAAAAAAAAAAGAAAATCTTGTATTTAAAACAAACATGCAAGCCAAAAACTCCCAACAAGAAATAATTAAGTAGATGGTCATATCAGCTACTTTGACAGGATCTTCAATAATGTCAGAGGATTATGGCAACACAAATATGCTGGCTGATTCAAGCACAGTTTCAAAAATTGTAGCTTACGTTGTAGAGATTATATGCTATTTTAGAATGCATCATTTAGTTTGTTGCTGATAGTTAAAGGAAGACACTTTTATATATGAAATGTATGCATCAATTTGTATTAATTCTATAAAGATCTTAGTAAAGATTTGGGGGTTGGCAAAAATTCATCTTAAAGGTGCAAAAGACTCACGTGGTAATATGACCACAGTGAAGTGGTAAAGTGGAATATAATTTTGGGAGAAAGCAAGTGATCCAGATATGCTTTTGTCAATTTTATTTTCAGGTAAATTTTTTCATTTTTAGTTAAACTTCTCCCCCTGCCCCCCAACCCCAGAACTCGGGGTTTCTGAAGGAGGTCTGAGTATTAGCCTTGCATTCTGTATTCAGTGACTTAAATTTCTGTTGTAGATTGGCCGTTTGTGCTGGGGCCAAGGAAAATTTAGAAATTGCTGCTTATTAAGATTACATTATGTCTTGACATTCTTCTGCTACTGTATAGAGAATTGTTCTTTCTTGCCCATCAGCATCCATCTAAATAAGAAGTCACAGTAAAGGACAGACTCTCGGCCAGGCAGGGAGTCTTGCTTCTTGTAGCACTGTGATGGGGTTGTACCTTAACTAAGTCCACACAATCTTAAGTTCTTAAAATTCCTGTTGAGTCCATTTTAGTTTGCCATCCATTTTTTAAAAACTTTATGAAGTATGAACAATTTATTCTTAGAGATAAAGGTATTATAGAGACTTTTTTTTCCCTTTCCTTCCCTTTTGATACTGGGGTTGAAACTAGGGCCTTGCACATGCTAAGCAAACACTCTCCTACTGAGTAGTATCCCCAGCTCATTTTTATTTTTCATTCTGAGACAGGTTCTCTCTAAGTTGCCCAGGCTAGCTTTGAACTTGCAGTCCTCCTGCCTCATCCTTCCAAATAACTGGGATTACAGGTGTGTGCCACTGTGCCAGGTAGTGTGTAGGTTCACTGCCTGCCATATAAAATTGTAATGGATTTCTTTATCTTACATATTCCTCTTGGCTTTTAATAAGATCCTCCTGGTGCTTGGATGGCAACTAGGATTCTACAGGTTATTTAGCTTCTGTTTAGAGACTGAAACACTTTATATAGCACCCCACCCCCATTGTCATGATCAGTGATTGTAAGTAGGGTCATCTTTATCGTGCATTATTTAATAAGGTGTGGTAGTTGACATTTGGACAAGCATCATAGCGCTATAATAGAATGCTGTATGTTTTATTTTTAGTTGTATTTGGTGATGTTTATATTTTGTTTATCTGTATATGTGTTTAAGCGCATTAGGAGATATTTTCTGTGAGTTGTTTGTAGTGACTGTTAAGCCCATTTCCTAAGTTTATTAATAACTTTCCACCTATGATTCTGGAAACTTGAACTAATGCTTTTTTCCCCCATGAAATATCTTTTGCTTCTCCATAAGGGAAATGTGGTAGATGCACTCCCAGAACCTCAGAACACTCCCTGCATTGTCCACCGCTCCTTCCTATGTCTGAACAAGGCCATTTCCACTCCCACAGATGGTGTGTCCCCAAGGAAGTGGCTCTCTATAGCTCAGGACCTTCCTTCTCCTTGACCAGGTTGTGCGCCTGTTGTTGCCTCGTGCTTGCTGTCTTGCCTCCGTCTTCATGGAGGGTGAGTCCTTTGGATCTGAGGCTGTTGCTGGCTCTGGTCCTCTTGATCTGGTTCCTTACTGACTTTTCTGAAGGTAGAGCCCTCGCCATGTTTCCTCATTCCAGTTTTACTTCCCACGTATTATTATTTTCTCAGATGAAAAATCTCTAAATTTATATCATTAAAAAATACCTTCCTTTGTTTCATTCTCTAAGAAAGATCTTCTTCTTTTTTTTTTTTTTAAATTATGGTTGGGATATGAAGTGTCCCTAAAGACTCATTTGTCTTTGGGGCTTGGTCCCCAGTGCTGCAGTGTTCAGAGGTGGGCATTTTGGGAAGTGGTTGGATCCTGAGGGGTCTGACCTTGGATGCATGTTCTTGGAGATTATATCTTGCCCTCAGCCCTTCCCTTCTCTCTGGTACTTGGTTGCCATGCTCTGAGCAACTCTGCTTCACCAGGCTGCCTCCGCCATGATGTTCTGCCTTACCACGGGGCCTAGAGCAGTGGAGCTGGTTGATCATGAACTGAAACCTCTGAAACTGTGAGCCAATCTAAATCTTTCCACCATCAAAATGTTTTTTCCTCAGGTACTTTGTCATAGTGAGAAAAAACAGACCAACCCAACCTTTATTCTCTTTTGCCTTTCATTTGAAAGAGAAATTTGGTGGGGGTACTGGGGATTGAACCAGGCGCACTTTACCACTGAGCTATGTCCCCAGGCCTTTTTTATTTTGAGTCAAGGTCTCTTTAGGGTGAGGGTCTTGTTGAGGGTCTTGCAAAATTGGTGAGGCTGGCTTCAAACTTGCCATCCTCCTGTGCCAACTTCTGAAGTTGCTGGGATTACTGATGCGGGCCACCATGCCAGTCTCTAACTTCTTGGAGTTTATTTATTTCTACTTCCTCATCTTCATTCACCCTCCAGCTCAAGCACTTGAATGTGTACACCTGCTGTGAAGCTCATGCTTGGTTCTAGTCTCTTAACAGCTAAATGCAATGGTTTTTCAAGTTGTCTTATTTGACCTTGCTTTTGCAGTTGACATGGTTGAGATTATTTGTCTCTTTGGTTTTCTTCTTTTGGCCCCGTATCCTTCTCTGGCTGTTGCTGCTTCCTCCCTCTCTCCCATCTTTCCTTTCTCTTTCCCTTTATATCAGATATTTCTTTCTTATAGTTCTCAAGGCTGGAATGCCAGCATGGTCACATTTGTATGAACCTCCTCTGCTCACATGCTCAAAGAGGGTGAATTCTCTAGGTTCTTGGCCCCCGCCCCTCCGCCTCTATTGAACCCAGGGTTTATTACCTATGAGCTACATGCCCAGCCTGGGGATCCCTGTCATAAGGGTACTAGTCCCATTCATAAGGGATCCACCCACATCACCTCTCAAATGCCTCATCTCCTGATAACATCACATTGGAGGCTACAATTTCAATGTATGAATTTGGGGGCACACATACATATTGACTGCATAGCACAGCAGAGAGACTGAAACCTTCGTCCTCAGTGATATGTATTCGCTGTAGTAAAAGTTTGACCTTAAGGGGGCACTAAAAAAAAAAAAAAGACATCAAGTGGTTTGGGATCTCCACAATGAAAGCTGTATGAACTTCCCCACAGAATCTCTTTCCTGAAATCCATTGCCTCTTCCTGTCACACTTCCTAGTCTCCTGTATGGGTCTTTTCTTGCCTCTGAATTTGGTATTTGGAAGAGTTTCATCTTTTTCTTTGCCTTGTGTATTTGCTTTCATAAGTATGACCATTTATTTTAGCATCTTCAAATTCTGGCCGTATAATATTGAAACCTTAAGTAGACATCTTCACCTTTGAACTCTAGATGTAGACACTCAACTTCCAATTAAACATTTCCTTCTGGATATAGTATAGCTGTTTGAAATTCATCATGTTCCCAGCTGTGTTCATTATCTGTTTTTTTCAAAATGCCTGCATTTCCTGTTTTTATTAATGAATCCTTGACCTACCCAGGTGCTAAATCCCTGAACTTGGAAATTGTCCTTGAGTCATTATTATTCCTTACTCCCTTTATCTCTCCTTAGTCACAATGCCATGCTGATTTTACCTTGCTTAATATTGTTCTTCTATCATTCGATTTTTTTGGTTAGACTATTTTCATAATCTCATAATTGGACTCTTCTTATATTACTTCCATTCATTTTTTAAACTGTTGGAGAAGATGGTAAATATGATTATACCATTTAAAAAGAAATATCCCCGTGATTTCTGGTCTAAACACAGATATCTTTGTCTTTGGTCTGGTCCCATTCTGTCTTTCCATCCTCTCCCTTTCTCTCTCTCAGAATTGTTAGTATCTTCTAGGACCTTGTGCTTCTTAGTGCTGCCCTGCCTTTGAACCTGTGCTCTGGTGGAATGTGCCTCCCCACATATTCATATCACCTCTAACACAGTCTGCTGATAATCTTACCTGGATTATCTCTTCAGGTTCTGACTAAAGTCTCACCACCATCAACATGGTCTCCTGTCTCTAGCCCAAGTTATTCCCTTTTCCACACCTCCTCTTTCCATTCTTGAAGTTTACTTACAGTGCTTAGTATGGTGCATGGCTATTACTTGTTATTATTTGTTAGCATATCCATCTGTCCTGTTATCTTTGACCTTTTGGAGGGCTAACTCCTTATTCTTTGCATCACAGTCCTTAACATGGTATCTCACAGCGTTATCAGTAAATATGCTGGAACTTTCTTGAACAGAATAAATAAGAATCACTATTCTAAAAGTTAAATAGATGAGCATAAAAATGATACATGCATATCTGTTTTAGTCACCTTTTTCCCCCCGCTGTGACTAAAGAATCTGACCAGAACAACTGTAAGGAGGAAAAGTTTATTTGAGGGCTCATGGTTTCAGAGGTCTTAGTCCATAGAAGGCTGCCTCCATTCCTGGAGGCTCAAGGTGAGGCAGGACATCATGCTGGGAGAGTGTGGTGGAAGGAAAAGCAACTCACTTCATGATCAGAAAGCAGAGAGAGAAAAAACTCCGCTTGCCAGATACAAATATATACCCAAAGCCACACCCCAATTCCCACCTCCTTCAACCACACCCTGCCACTTCAGTTAGCACTCAGTTAATCCCTATCAGGGGATTAATTTACTGATCGGGTTAAGACTCTTACAGCCCAATCCTTTCTCCTCTGAACCTACTTGCCTTGTCTCATACACACGTGAGTTTGGGGGGACACCACATGTAAATCTTAACAATATCTTAAACTTATTTTATTCAAACACAAAACTTACATTTTCTTGGTGAAACTTTTGACGTAGGGCCTAGACTTCTAGTATGGACACACAGAAAGAACTTGGTTTTATGTTTCTTCACAAAACCACACTCAATCATGAATTGTCCATTATTTCCAGTTTGTATTCTCTAAATCGAGGCAGAAGCTTTTGAAAATATTTCTGATTTATCTTTCCTAGTATAATTATTCCCACACTGGATTCATTGTCAACATATACCATTATTTTATACCAGGCTAATCTTTTCAAAGCATTCACAGACAGATATTGTACTGCTCTTCATACTCCTGTTTTCTCTCTTTAATATGTTATGCAATTAAGTCATATTCTTACCACAAGGTATTGTATTAGGTTTAGGATAAAAAATACTCGAATTCGGCTCAGCTGATGGGACAGAAGTTTTCAGTCTGCTCAGAGAGGAACCAACTGGCTGGCAACATTCCAGGTGCATCAGTCAGTATGATTTACAAAGGGCACAGAGATCATTGGTTAACCTGGACAGTTGGTTAAGTGGATATTGGTTAAAAGGGTCTGACCATATTTGTCACATTGATGCTAAAAAGATGTTTATCTCTGTTACTTGGCATTCTGGTAACTAGAATTGCTTAAGACAAACTTATCTACTTTCCTGGGTATTCCTTCCCTCACATCATTTATAAAAATGTTAAATAAGACTACTTTGAGCACTTGTCTCCTGGAAGTCTTCATGCTTATACACCTGATTCTCTCTCATTTATCTAGTGCTTTAACCATGGCAAGGTGTAATTTTTAACACTTGTCTTAGGTTCTTGTCTGTGTTGTTTTGCTTCCTTCCACTGTGACAAAATGTCTGAGATAATCAACTTCCAAGGAGGAAAGATCTATTTTGTCTCATGGTTCCACAGGTTTCAGTCCATGGTCACTTGGCCATGTTGCTTTGGATCTGTGGTGAGTAAGTACATCATGGCAAGATGGAGTGCCTGGTAGAGGAGGCTTCCCACTTCATGGAGGCTAGGAAGAGAAAAAGAGGAAAGGGCAGGGTCCCAAATATCACCTTCAAAGGCATATCACCAACAACCTAGTTTCCTTCTGCTAACCACCTACAAAGGTTCCACCACCTCCCTTAGTGCCTCAGGCTGGCGGCCAAACTTTTAATGTGTATGCTTTTTTGGGTGGGATGGGGTGGGAAACTCCAGATATAGTAAGTTTTAAAAAATAGTTTGCCGCAGTCTGGCTGGGCACAATCAGGAGCCACTTGTCAAAAGAAACTAACTTTATTTTTAGAACCACACACGCCAAACAAAACAGCCTCTCAGGAAAAACCCTCAGAGCCTCAACTGCCACCACTGGCTTTCCACAAGCCTCTCTCTCCCCCCTTTTGTTTAATTAAACAACAAGCAATGTGGCTTAGGGACCGTGCCTGTTAGGCAGTCCAATTCAACATATGGTCCTTACCCGTCATCGGATGAACTGACCTCTAGGTGTCAGCCTCCTGTCTTAGGTTGGTACCACTGCAATTGGATCATACCCGTCACTGACTACCGGTCCAGCATACAGCCATACTTGTGGATAGGCCTTTTTGCACCAGTGGGGGGGTGAGGTTTTTTGCCTCACCTCTGTTGGCCCCCAAATTTTAGACCATCACTAGTAGAAGGGAGGAGGATGCAAAATGCCATGACACTAAGCCAATTGAGGGCTCCTTTGAAAAATTGTACCACCGGTGACACCATCAGCAAAAATACTCCAGCACTACCACAATTCGCTGTACCAACAGATAGTTCACAATGCATACAAGTGATACATAGTCCAGGCAAGGTCTGCAAGCAATTCAAAGCACAGGAATCTGTCAATATGTCCATTTCCTCCCAAAGTAAATCGACTCCTTAATTGAGCATTACTTGTTGAGTTATTATTCATTGATGCATCAGTTTTTACAGTTTGTTGTGATAACTATCGAAGAAGCTGTAGTTTGGTTTTATCTTTGTCTTCACCGGCACTGGGATGAAGATAGGAATTTTGGCAATGATGCTAAGAAAAAAATTATGTAACATTCCAACAGGCACTAAGAAAACAATTTTTTGAACAATTTACATTATCCTGAACAGAATTATTAAATATAATGAGAAGGAAAGGTGAAAGTAAACAAACAGATCTGTTAACCTCCTTATTTGTTCACATATTAAAACAATTTTCAACAGCTGTTTACCCAATCTAAATTAAACCATTAAAATCACGTGAATAAAAAAAATTCGGATCCATTTATTCATGAGCGATCCTCATATATGATATATGGACATACGCACATACAGACATACAACACAAAACAGAAGTGTGCACACATAATACATACAACACATAACATTATAGTAAAGGCCTTATAACTTTTTACAGGTGAAATCTCCAATGCAATGTTTAAAAACTCTATAGTCAAAAAATAGAACTGATCAGCAAAACATTAACCTAGGTCTGTATGAGCTCAAAAAACAAAATAGAACTTCATGATATGGCAAAGGGCAATAATAAAATAGATATTGAAAAAAGCATCCTGGTTCTGTTGCAGATGTAAGAATAGCCCAACTGGAGTTCTGGATATCAGCTGTTATGGATTTGAGTCAAAGCATCTTCCTTTTGGCCTGTAGAAATTGTTTTAGTTAATCTCTCTGGAATCCAAATCGGCTGCTGTTCTCCCTGTGGAAAAACACAAACAGAACCCCGACTCCAGACAATCACTGGGTCAGGACCTTTCCATTGTCCTGTTAGAATATCCTTCCAAAGTACCTTAGGCTTATGTACATTTTTTGGACACATATGCCTTTCCGCAGCACTAAGCCCTGAGGAATCCAAATTTAAAAAGTTTAGAGTAAAAAGGGTTATTTTAAGTTTATCTTTGGGGAATATATACCCCTTCCCAATTCCTCCTTTTTGCTTTAATAAGTACATTTTAATAGTTTGATGAACTCTTTCAACTATGCCTTGTCCCTGTGGATTGTATGGGATTCCTGTTATATGAGTAATGCCAAATGTTGAGCAAAATTGTTTAAAAGAGGTAGAAGTATAACCAGGGGCATTATCTGTTTTTAACTGTTTTGGAACACCCACAGTGGCAAAATTTTGTAAGCAATGAGCTATAACATCTTTAGTTTTTTCTCCGGCATGAAAGGAGCCCATCAAAAATCCAGAAGAAGTATCAACTGTAACATGCAAATATTTTAATTTTCCAAATTCTGGCAAGTGTGTGACGTCCATCTGCCAAATATGGTTAGGTATCAATCCTCTAGGATTGACTCCAAGATTAACTTGTGGTAAAAAGGTCACACAATTTTGACATTGTTTTATTATTTGTCTAGCTTGTTCCTTAGTTATTTTAAAACGCTTTTGTAAAGTATTAGCATTGACATGGAACTTTTTATGAAAATTTATAGCTTCTTCTAGTGTAGAGAAAATATGTATGTCATGTGTAGTTTTATCTGCTAAATCATTGCCCAAACTAAGGGCTCCAGGCAATCCTGTATGTGCCCTGATATGTCCTATAAAGAATGGATCTTTTCTGTCCCAGATTAGACTTTGTATAGTGGAAAGCAAAGAGAAAACAGTAGAAGAAGGGGAAATCCTACCAGCATCTTCAAGAGATACTATAGCATTAACTACATACTGACTATCAGAAAATAAATTAAATACAGAATCTTTAAACATCACAAAAGCTTGTAAAACTGCATTAAGCTCTACCTTTTGAGCTGATTGTTTGGGTACTAAAAATGTAAAAGTTTGATCAGGGGTAACTACTGCTGCTGTACCATTATTTGACCCCACAGTTTGTTGATGGTCATCAGGTAGAAAAGTGTTCAGCCACATCTTTTTATTAATTCCTGATTATATTTCCCTTCCCTCAATACTCAGAAAGTGCTGGGTTTGAACATTCTGTAGTTAGGTCCCCTGTCAGCATCTGCCCTGCTGTAGAGTGGCTGGTCATAATTCACATTTTACATTTTTGCCTCCACAGTTAAAGATTCCACCTTGACTTTTTAACCCTGATAATGCCAGTTGGATTTGTGCTTTTGTATATCTTGTTTGACAGTTCAGTTGATTCTCCCTTAAGTTAATCACCATTTAATTTAGTTTCTCCAACCTGTTACAAAAAAAAAAAAAAATTGGTATTTGCCGTATTCTTGATCCTTCATAAAGACCAAGGGAACTGTTGTTCAGTTTTATACACAATCTTTTTCATCTTACATTCTTTGCAGACAATGCTTATTTTTAGAGATTTTATCTTGTTTAGTAACATTTTTTTAATTGTTTTTGGAGTGCTCTGCAAGGTTACTTAGATTCTTTCTTGCCAGCTTTGATTATTAGTTTGTACTTGACCTGCTAAACTTTGAAGGTTTCCTTATATTCCTTGGTAGGAGAGCTCTCATTCCAGTTTTTGGAAAGCAGTTTGCTATTTATCTCCCCAACTACCCTGCCTCTTAAACCTTGCCCAGGGCCCTGATCTTTTTGATCCTTTGCAGACATTTATCTTGGGCTGTGGTTGAGGTATTTAAAATGGTCTTCAAAGTACCTACGGTTTATTTGCTTAAAACTGTACATTTCCTTTTGAGAAATAATGCTTCATTTTTAAAAAGTTGACTAGTAACCTTTATAGCTGTCTTCCAAGGCCAGAATGATAGCCATCCACTTAGGGAGGACTTTGTCCAGTAAGGATAGCTGTCTGTGATTTTTAAAATAAGTAAAGCCCACAGAGAGGTGTGTGCTTAACATATCACATCCTGAGTGTTATTCTTGGTGTTTTCTTCATTATTACTATGAGAATTATATCTGGAAAGATCATAAAAGTAAGCTTCATAGTTTGATGATAGAGGATCTTTCAATATAATGTATGTACGAATTAGTAATGGCTGTATTTGATAGTAAAGGGGAATTATTTATGCCTGAAGAAAAGTAGGCTAGACTAATAGAGCAAGTAGCTTAAGAAAGCAAATGTTCAAAATATTCACCATCTGCTTCAGTGACTGCGAGAATAACAGTACAATCTGAAACTAGTCTTTGGGTTCTGCATTCCTTCTTCATATTCAGTATTGCCTGCAGGTCTCCAGGCCTTACTAAACACTCACAGTGACATGTTCTGTGTTTATGCACTACCTGTACCTGCAGGACCTCTAACCCCTGTCGAGTCTCCCCTACTCCTTTTAAGTTTGGGTTCCCAGGGACCTCTTAGGTAAGTCCTCTGCATCAGCTGATTATTGCTTCTGCCTCCCATTTGCTTTATCCCTCCTCATCCAAACCCCAGAGGGCATCATCATTGCTCCTTTAACTCCTCTAAGAATCCTACATCAAGAGAGATCTTTCAGAGCTCTCCATATTGTCAGCCCTTGAGCAGAAGGAAGACTGTCCCTTCAGGTCACACTCTCTAGCCAGAGTCCCCAGCCATGTTGTGGATGCACTTCCCCCACATCACTCCTGCACTGTGTTATGGGGTCAGAGACTGGAAATTTGTCCTAGAGCAAGGGCATAGAATATTATTCTCAGTTTCTGTGCAAGTCTTTTCTCCTACTCCATGGTATGGAAAACATCACAACACAAATGTCACTGATGTTCTTATCCTTGACAATAAAACAAAAGACTTCATGTGAATGAATGCCTGTGAGCTCTCTAAATTTCTGCATCCTCATGGATCTTACTCCTTTCCAGTCCCTGGGAAGACTTAGATCTTAAATGAGGGTCCAGATAAATTGCCTCATAATATAAATTATAATTTTGAAATAGTTACTGGGTGGTGGTTCACATTTGAATTTCTCACTTGAAAAAAGAGATTAACTTTTGAGGTGTGTGTATATATGCCAATATGAATGTGCATAAAATTAAAGTAGTATAAAGTGTATATTTGTGGATGTCAGACAGCAATAGGATACATACATGTAAGTTGTGTGTATGAACCACAGTATATACATGCATATGCCTGTATATGAATCAGACACAGTAATATGGTGTGTGTGAATCAGATGAAAAATACAATGCTTGTGTGCGTGTGTGAATCAGATGCAGTAATGTGTGTACATGTATATGTGAACCAGACTCAGTAGGACAGTGGGCAAACAGGATAAAATAAACTTAGTGTGGGTTCCAAAGTGGTAATTTACACTTGTGTGACTTTGCACAAATCATACAACCTTTCTAGGCATCACTAGTCACGTGAGATTTTTAGATGTAACTAAGATCTTTTATGGTTCTAAAATTTTATGGTTAGTACAGTTACCATCACAAAATACTCAATTTGTTCCATCAGTGTTTGAATTATTTTATCTGTATTAGCATTTATAATTGACCTTTCAGCATTCAAACTTTCCATGTATCTTTATTAGCTTCTGTAGCAGGAAGACACATGACTTAATTTCATGAACATTTCTCTAAACTGCTCCCTAAATGCTCCTATTTATTACAGTTTAAGGAATCTAACAATTCCATGGATATGTCATCTAAACTGAATTTTTAAAAATGATTGGATGAATACAGAAAAGTGGTAGCAGTCCATGTCTCATTTTTTTTTAAGGGCATGTAGTTGTCTAATACCTAAAAATAGAGTGAAATTCTTAAAGGCTGTATTGGTGGTGTCACCTTCATCTCTGTGGGTAGTATATACCCCTACATCTGCCACATGTAAGATATTCAACAAAGGCTTACAGAATAAGCAAATCATTGTATAGTAAAACTTTTTAAAAAATCACTGTCATATGTGCCCATGTGTTCTCTGAAAAATTCTCTGTGACATTTTGGGTGGGACTAGGTGGAGAAAGAAGGTTTTCCATTGTGGTTGCAAGATGTCAGTGCTTCTTAGATGCTGTTTGTAACTGACAGAGCAACTGAGGGGTGCTAGGAATAGAATGTTAGTGATTTTTCTCTCTTTTGGGAACAGTGATTGTACCCCTTTTAGAGGAACCATCTTAAACCAGTGAACCAGATTATTTCATTAGCTCTGTGTCTGTTGAGTCATATGGGAGCTTTTTCTCTGGGCATAAATCTTGTGTCCATAGGGCACTGAAGCAGTTAATCTAAATGCTCTCTTTTGGAATCAAAGTGCAGCGTGGACATAGCACTGAGTTATGATACTGGAACATCAGAAGGCCGTACTTTTCTCGTAGAATATTCTCTTACTAGTATGTGGTAATTACAAGAGGAAGTGAAAAATTCTAAGGAAAATTACAAATACTAAAATATAATTTGGTAATCTATTACGGAAGACCATATTTTTTAATTGCATGAATAGGGCCTTCTATTTTTTTTTTAATTTCAAAATCCATCTGAGCATTAATCATTAAAGCTTGCTGTGATGGCAAGCACATTGCCTTTTAAAAGGCCCTCTGTCATCTTATGTTGATTAGTAGTGGTAATTAAATTTTACTTTGATACTTTATATGTTGACCTCTGTACTGGTAGTAACAGTAAACATGAGAAATAAGACCTTAAGATTCTGAGTGGTGGGCTGGGGATGTGGCTCAAGCGGTAGCGCGCTCACCTGGCATGCGTGCAGCCCGGGTTCGATCCTCAGCACCACATACAAAGATGTTGTGCCCGCCGAAAATTAAAAAATAAATATTAAAAAATTCTCTCTCTCTCTCTCTCTCTCTTAAAAAAAAAAAAAAGATTCTGAGTGGTTATCAGTTATCACTAATATTCCTGAGGAAGGTATCTGGCCCTCAGTTGGAATGCCAATGTGTTATATAGAAGGTCAGCTTACCTTGCAGATTTGATGTCCTTGAAATTTCACATAAGAGATTATATAGAGTCTGGTTGCTTGTCGTGGCTTTAGGTGACCTCTTTTAGTTGAAGCCTTTTAAAGGCATCTTGAGATATTTGCATTAGGTTGGAGCTGAATTGAACCTCAGAAAGGAGACTTCTTCCAGAGTCAAAATAAAACTAAGCATTACTATTAGGGGGTGCAGGGAAGGAAAAAATGTCTTCCACCCCGAGCAGACTGCATTAGCATTCTGCCAACTGGCCTGTTGGTGCGAACTAGTGAAGTCATCAAGCCTGAGCTATTTTAATACCCTGACACGGTGCACGCAGAGGCAGCTGGAGGTGCCGCGCAGAGGAATCTCCGAGAGGTTTTCAGAAGCAGAAAATTTCCCTGCTGACTAACAGTATCCCCGTTTCACCATTTCAGGGTCCCTGTCGCCTCTGAGAAGCAGGAGGGCTTGTGCATTGGCCCTAGAAGGGCAGAAGGAGGGAGAGTGTGATCTCCCACCTTCTCAGGTGATCTCCTGGTGTCTAGACAGTATTGATGTGTGTGTGTGAAGACCAGGACCTGGCGAGGGAAGTTTTTGTTTATAGACAGACTTTTTCCTTTTCTTCCCCCTTTAAAAAAAAAATACGAAAAACAAAAAAAAAAACAAAACCAAAACCAAAACAAAAAACCAACCAAACAAAAAAACTCTAAGAAGGTCAGAAGTGCAACAATACACAATCCTGTAGGAGATTATGAACCAAGTAAAGCAATTGGGACATACATAGAATTTATCAGCATATTGAAAATAAATTGAATACCAGTTTGGACAGTACATTACTTCAGAGGAACCCCAAAGTGGAAGGAAATGCTGGCAGATTGCATTTTAAATCCTTATATAAATGTTCTATCACTCGTAAAGAATTATTTTGTAAATGGAATGCTTTTTAATTTGCAGACTGAACTCTTTCTTGTTGGTTCTGTCATTACAAGTCCTTAACAAAAGCTTAAACAGATATTTGATTGATTATGGAATTGTTTACTGGATACTGTTTAGCCACTAGCAAAAGATCTAAAAGTGTACACAGAGCTTCATCTCTTTAGAGACTTAGTTGAGAAACATCAGCCAAATGGAGATAAATTTAGAGATAACAAGATACCAAGTTTTGAATGTAAAAAAGTTCACTCTTTTTCAGCATCACTGATGAAAGTATTTAAGATTCCAGAGGCGGGAGATAACTCTGATGAGGACTTTTTCCAACAAGTACAGAGAGAAGCAGACACTCCTTAGCGTGAGTGCACTCAGGGGTCAGGACTGCGAAAGCTGCCAGGATTGAGCCCTGATTTAGCAATGACAAGCCAGAGACAGGAAGCTGCCTTGTTTATTAGAAATAGGGTAACCACAGTCTCAGACAACTGGGGAAGACTGTGCTGGCAGTTTCATTCTGAGCAGCAAGCCATAGCGCAAAAAATAAATAAATAAATAAATTTAAAAATAAATAAATTAATTAATTAAAACAAAATCATTTTGCTTATTGTTTTAAGCTTAGCAGTCTTTTGTTTACTCCTTAACAACTGTAGTTAAAAAGGCACAGCTTTAACATTTCTTATTCAGAAACAGTGTATTTCACAAAGCTATCATATAAAGAAAACATAAAGGTGTATCACCTTGATTTCTATAGTACCTTATGAATTCACAGTAATGCCGTGTTTATTTAGGAAGGTGCTTTCTTCAGAATATTCCATATGTATATGCTCAGAGATCCTCACTGTATTCCAGAAGGCATATATCATAATATCTTTGGGATTACTGGGAGGGTATGGCAGGGGTTGCAGAGTAAATTTTTATTGTTTGATTGAATTTGAGGCATCATTTAGAGCATTTTCAATTATAGGTAAAGAAACTGAGATGAAAAGTATCTTTCTTACCTGAAGTCTCAGAATCTGCAAATATCACTGAAATGAAATGGACGTAGAAGCTAATCGAAAAATCATTAACTGGCTTGGCCCTTTTGAGGCAAAATTAGGAAAAATTGTAATATACTTATATTAAAATTTTCCTGGACTTGATTTCTTCTTTCTTTGATACTTAGAGTATACTAAAAAACAGATGGTGAAACTTATAGTGATTAAAAGCTAGCCTCCAGAGCCCACCTTCTCTATGTTGAAACCCAGCTTCTCACTCATGGCTCTATAACCTCTGAGCAAGTTATGTACCATATCCAGGCCTCCGTATCTTTGTTTATAAGGTTGAACTTAATAACTAAACCTAAAAAGCATTGGGACATTTTGAAAGAATCTATCTGAAATGCCCGGTGTGGAACCTGATACATAAGAAGAAGAAAATAATTGTGACCTGTTGTTCTGATGAACAGTGTTACTGTGTGGAACAGGGTCTCAAGACCCCAGTTCAAAAGTGTATTTTCATTTGTGTCAAAAGTACCGGACCCCACAAGGGAATCCAGGGACCGTGGCCTAGATCTAGTTCGTGTGATGGTTCTGCCCCCCCTCAGCACTGTGTACTAGAAAGTACTCTGTCTTCTAGCAGGCTATGTTCAGTGCTCTGCCAGGAGTAAAGTTCAAAGAGGTGAAACCTCTGAACAGAGGCCACTGAACATTTCAGTCAACAAAAGATAGAAACAGCAATCTCAGGTTCACAGTAGCAGCTCTGATCATCTTAAATTTCAAAACATTTACTCCTTTTACTTCTAACACTGCCGTGTATGGGTGTGCATTCTTATATTGGTAATGCTTTTGCACACATTACTTAAATGATGACAAAATTATGAGGGAAATTCCTTTACACCCTTTCTACAGAGGAAGAAACTAAAATTCCGAGAAACTTATCAAAGATTACATAGCTCAAAAGTGGTTGAATTTGACTCTCAGCGTTTTTCTCTTTTCATGAGTTTCAGTATCTGTCTTAACTTCATCTGTGATTCTTCCCTTCACAGTAACATCCTGGGCCTTCTTGTTTTTTACCCTTTGTCTTCTCCCTTTTAATGTTACCATTCCCTTATTTCATTTTTTTTCTCAATTCCTATATGTATAAAAAATAACTTTTTTTTTTTTTGGTGGTACTGGGAATGTAACCCAGGGTCTAATGTATGCTAGGCCAATGCTCCACTAATGAGCTATACCCCCAGTTCTTTTTGTTATTTATTTTTTGTGGTGCTGGGGATTAACCCCTGGGCTTTGTGCATGCAAGGCAAGTACTGTTCCAACTGAGCTATATCCCAGCCCACTTCTTTTTATTTGTAAATTTTGAGATAGGGTATTGGCTAAGTTGCCCAGGCTGGGCTCAAATTTGGGATCCTCTTGCCTCGACCTCCTGATTTTCTGGGATTATAGGTGTACCCAGCTAAAATAACTTTTAAGAAGTATCAGTCTGTAATAAGTTTTAAACTTTTGTAGTCAACTTTAAAAGCAGATGAACATATTTTTTATTTAATGGTATTAATTTGTTGTACCAATTTATGTCTTTGGAAATTTCTGCCTAATTATTTCAACTTACCTTCTCTGTGTATCAATAACTAGGGATAGGGAAAGTAATTTGTTAGTTTAGGAGTTATAAGTGTCTCGTTGATATGTCTTTAAAATGTACACCGAGTACCTGGGTTTCAGGTACCATGGTAATCTCCATTCCAGCTGCTTTTAAATGTGATTTTTAGAATGTAAAATATGCATCTGTCACCTGTTCTTTGGGAGTGCAGTGACCTGAGTGATAGGTGGAGGCCAGGTAGCCCTCTTGGTCTCTGGGGGAGGGTTGGAGGTTGTGGGCAGCTATACTCCTGCTCTACTTCTGTCCCTCATCTTGAACTTGCTGTCCCCCCTGTCCTTTGTGGCCACCCACACATGAACATAGCTCCCTTTCCCTTTTTTAACCCCTAAAGATCATGTTGAATGACCTTTATGATGAAGTAAACTGAAAAGTTCAGAAGTTCAGCAACAAAAAAAAGCTCTAAATTAAATATTAGACCATGTCTCTTTTAAAAGTGCCTCATCAGGATCCAGCAGCTGGGCCTGACAGATCATCATGGTCAGTCTTTTTCTCCCTCAGCAACTTAAAAAAAAAAAAAAATCATTCTGAGCTTTTAGTTTTGCACAGCACTACAACTTTCTCTGGCCCTGTGCTCAGACCCAGATCTGGGCCTCCTTTGGCTCATCTGAAGACCCATTAATATTTTCCCCAGGTCTCCTCCTTCCCCTCCTTTCCAGGCCCCACGAGAGAGGGGGGAAGTATGCAGATTTATTTTTCCACTGAGATGAATTTCACCCTCCTCCCTCCCAAGGAAGGCAGACATGGATTCTAAATGTTTTTCCATTCCTCTTTTACATGTAGAATTAAAGCCAAAACCAATTATGGTAAACTGGGTGTTTGGGTTGAGTTGGAGTTTACTGTAACTTTGAAACAACCTTATCTTGGTTGGACAATGTAGATGGTATCACAATTTTCATTTTCACAGATAACTTTTCTGAGTCTGTGTGTAGACTAGAGCATGGCAAATACTCAGATGAAGTTTCACTTCTTCCCTCAGTGCAGGGAGCACTTTCTGTTAAATTGGACTCTTACACACTTCAAGGGGGGGATGTGCTGCCTAATGTTACACCTAGCGCCAGGAGCGTTGAATTTCTTAGTCATGATGCCATACGCAGCATTATTAATCTTCGCTGTAGGTAGAATAGCAAGGGGGCAACAAAAACCAGGCTTCAGAAAACTACCGACAAACCACACAGGAGCAAATCCCCTAGCAGATGCTCTGTAAAGAAGGACAGCCAGTGGAATCTGGGTTCCATGTATGTTGCATGACTGATGGGCTGGTATTGATGCCCGACAAGGTCCTTTAAATCATAGCGTGGCTGCTTTTCTATCTTCCCTCCCCCACCCCCTTCCTGAAGCTTTCCCTACTCCTAAGTCCTATTAAAAGGGTCTGTCCTTGGAACTGCTTTCTTTGGAACTGTCCTTGGACTCTGACCATCCTTTCCTTCTGGGGTAGATGCCTGAAGGCTGCTGCAAGGAGAGCTCAGGCCCTGCCCGTGCTTCTCTGCATGAGGTTGAGGATAGCCTTGGCACTGCTCCTGCTCAGTACCTCTTTTCCCTGTTTGCTGGGCCTTTGTTGCCCTCCTGTGCATGCTACTGCTGGCTGGCTTTCCATGTTGGGGTGCATGCTTATGCTAACTCTTTCCCAGGCCTTACCTCCTGCACTTATTTATTTTGGCCTCAGTTTCGATGCTTTATAGCTGTTTCTTACTGGTCACGTGGTACCTGGAGCAACTCGGGAGTTCAAGATAAATTGGTGCTGTATTCCCCCTTCTCTACTGTCACTGTTGCTTATTTGTCCCCTCCTGTGTGCATGAAAAAAAATCTCCTTGACACATCTTCACTTTTTCTGGCCTAAGCCACTGTGAATTCTGGCTGCACAGAAGCTGAGACCAGCCCAAAGGCAGAAGGGCACTGGAAAAACACTGTGGAAAGTAGGTTAAAG